TCTACACCCGTTTTAACCCTAGGAAAGAAGCTTTACCCAATTAATGAAAACAGGCCAATTACCTAGTAAGACGAATATAAAATGGAATGATCTCACATTAAACATTCCAAAAGTTTACAGAAAAAGTGTCAGAATGTGCCGTAGTGACTACAGGAAAGTCCTGCAATTGCACATAGGACATAGGGTTGAATTGCACATAGGGTTGAAATTAAGCACTTTTTAACAATCTAATACAAGAAATAATTTACCTTTAACAACTCCCTGTTAATGTTTACTAACAAAAGTAACATAGACTGATTACAGGAATCGTTATACGTAGAGATTTATTTGCATACAATAATTAGAATTCGTCATCACTTTTGACAGAATGTTAACGAGTTCCTCGTCTCTCCTCCTAACCCTTAGCTACTTCCCCGAAGGATCCGTAATATTGGTATACACAACGGTTTAGCAATTCTTGGTCCATTCCACTTTGATCACCTGGATTTGATCACTCCGGTGATCAAAGTGGACTCCAGGTGACACTGATGTCCTTTGATCACCCATGAATAAGATCACCTTTATCAAAGTGGACTTCTTATTCATGCTGGGTGATCAAAGGACACCAAAGTGTCGCTTGGAGTTCACTTTGATCACCTGGGTGATCAAATCTAGATGATCATAGTGGAATAGAGCCATTTCTTCGAAACAACGGCACTAACAAATAGTGCTGAGAAGAATTAGGAAGAAAGAAATTCAGTTATGTACAAACGCCAGTACATAAATATCTTACTTAAACATCTTATGTAGTTGTTTTAAAGATGAGTTTGCCTTAAAAATGTACCTACTGTCATGTCTTATTTTACTCTCACTATTATGTTTGTGCCAGGAATCGAACGCGCACGAGAGCGTAAAGATAAGTAACGTTTTCAGCACTACTCTATCATCTCAACTTCTGACCCTATAAGCTCAGAAAAAGTCTTCATCCTCAAAATAACCCCGCAAAATTACCATATATTTAGCGCGGGGCGTGCCCCACAGGTACATTAGTGAATTATTGTGAAATCAAAGCAGCAATTAGTGTAATTGCCCCCACTCTCGGATGCGCGCGAGATGCACCGAGATGCCGGAGATAAAACACTGGGCCCGCAGCACAGAATCGTTATCTACAGTAAAAAAATGCTTCAAGGTTACCTTGTAAACAAATTGGTAATGCCCCTGTTAACCCCTCCAAGTAAGCTAAGGTAAACTGCCAGTCATTGGACACTTAAGAAAGTTATTGGACAGTTATTTACTGAATTAAAAATAGTATTTCTATTTCAACAACTGAGAGATTCCGACTGATATTGGAGATAAAAGGGCGTTTTTTTTAAGGAATATTCATTGTATTTGAAGGAATATTCATTTTAAGATAATTCAAGGGTTGTTTTGTCCAATGACTGGCAGCGTCCAATGACTGTCGGTTTGCTACATTATGCTTGTTTTAGCGAGCTTACTAAAAAAATACACGCTCTTGTAGTTTTAAAGCGACATTTAGTATGGAAATGTCATTTTAAAACAGTGTCCAAGAAGTGAGTAACTTTTGTTAGTATTAAACTAGCTAAGTAGAGAGTTCCTCAAATTACTTAGTTAATATCGTTTGTTATATGCAAAATTAGGCTTTTAGAAAGCGCTTGTACACGTCTCAGTGTTTACTTAACCCTACCACTGCTTCGGGACAATACCTACCTAAATGGACCGACGACATCATAAAGGTTGCAGGGAAGCGCTGGACGAAGGCAAAGCATTGGGAGAGGAGGCCTATGTTCAGCAGTGGACGTCCTTTGGCTGAAATTATGATGATGATGATGGGGAATGGGTAAGTATACTCATTGATCAAATCTCGAATAAGGTAAGTAGTCGGATTCGTGAGAACTTCGCTAAGCTACGTCTGTCTAGCCCCTATATGCTAAAAACTCACAAACTGACTCTTTCTTTACATTTCATTATTTCAAAAACCAAGAACTTTTCTAAATAAAATTGTACGAAACCCTGCAGAGAAATAGGAAAACTTGTATGGGTAGGATACTTAACGTTCGTGCTGTACCGCGGTTCCCATCATGCGTACGAAGGTTAAAGGGTCAGCCTGAATTGTGATCCCAGGTGAGGTACACTTTGTACGTATTAGGTTTTTTCAATTTAATCGGTAAAAGGCTTGTAACCAGGATCATGGGCCGGGGTCCTGACCTATAGAAGTAGGTATAGTTCCAAAATACTGAACTGTCCTATCTATGACATTGACAGTGGGGCGCCACCGTCAATACCGGATCGCTTGTTCCGATTTTTACCATGTTGAAAACCATATAGTTGAACGATGGTAGCGCCCCCCTGTCATTGAGTTTGGTGGGACAGTTCAGCGTGGGTCATCTATAGGATTATGGAAGATAAATATTTTTAAAGTTGACACTGACTTAACGAAATCGAAAGTCTTACAAATAGACACAAACGAAGTGGAAAAGTTAACAGGTTTGCAATTTGACAGGTCTCTTTAGAATTTAAAGACTGGAAGCAAAGCATAATAAAATCAAAGCATATAAGTTGGATGTTGCTATTGATAGGTACAGGGTGTATCAGATTCAATTAATTAAAATATTTAGCGATTTCAAAGTAAGACATACTATGTAGGTAGTTATTAATTTTTTTGAATAAGTTACTTTTTTAACGACGAACGAACGAAAAAAATCCTATGTCCATAATTTACAATTTATGATCTGCAAGCCAGAATATAAATACAATTCTAGACCCCTAAAACACCAATTTTTCTTACAAAGCAACGTATAATTTCTTTAAATATGTTTAGTAAATGCCATGATAACTTCAAACTTGCCCGTCTCCCATCTGATTTCTTTATTTTGAGCGCATGAGCAGCCATTTTGAATTCTTCATTTCGCAACGTCCCGCTAATTTAGCCGGCTTGTATTTACCGAAAATACCCGAGATCGATAACTCGTTTGTGCCGAATTTATCTTTCACCTGCATCAGACCTCACTCAATCAGAAATACGCCGATCAAAATGGTAATGTCGGTGGCGTTTTAGTCTTTTTGCCGCGTCCGAGGCCCACATAAACTGCAACAAATTACATGTTGCTTTATTTTTAATTGCTATGGTCGAGCCACCGACTTCGCCAGGGGCCTGACCCTTCCATTTTTGAATTATGGCGCGCAAACACGTGATTGGCCGGACGGCAAGTTGTATTTAGAAGTTGCGTTAAGGGGAGATCGCATCTGTAATAGGCATAATTATGCACCTTTGGTGAAGTCCAGACGAGTTATTTACTGGCTCAGCTCACAGCTGTGATGAAAAAACAGTTTTAATAATCACATAGACGGGCGTAGGTAATAAACAGCTGGTGCTGTAAGGCCCAGTAACACTTGAGATATATTTATCTTGCGTTTCATTACGCCAAAAAATGAAAAAATATGTCAGCTCATACAACGATATAGTTAAGAATTCCATTTACAACAGATGCTTAAAAATCTTTGTTTGTTTTGTATTTCAAAGAACCTAGAGACGTAATGATGCAGTAGGTAGGTAAGTACCGCCTACTTAACGCAAGTATTTTATAACAACACCTGCGATTAGCAAATAGCAAATGGTTTTCATTCATGGAATGGTAAGTAGGTAGGTACCTACTACAATACTAAGCTTAAATACATTGATAGGTAAGTACTACTTACAAGTCTTAAAACACTAAAAAATTGACCTTTTTCGAGAGAGCAAAGAAGGCTCAAGGCTGACCTACTTAGGTCCCTTCGATAAGTTACGTACAAAAAGTAGATAATAAATAATAAATAAATAAATAATCTTTGGACAATTTCACACAGCGCCAGCTAGCCCCAAAGTAAGCAACTTAATGCTTGTGTTATGTAGATGTATAGAGATTTTAAAAAATGAAGATTTTCCACGGTTTATCAACCAAATCCTATTCGAAAATGTAATAATATTATTATTCGCCTGCCACCTTCAATCGAACACCCTCTACTCTCTAGCAATCTAGCTAAAATGACCATCCTACAATAATGCCTACAAGTCACCTCGTGGGATATGTATGTATACTGAGTGCCACTATTCGTCTGTCTGTCATAATTTTCAAGGAGACTGGATAAAATACAGATTTTGTGATTGTCAATTACAAAATCTACTATTATTGTACAACTGTGTAAACAACTTTTAAAAAACGACTGCAGAATCTTATTACGTAAGAAAAGATTGGTAGTGGCCTGTATTCAGCGCCTTCCTCCTTCATGAGGTCGTCAGTCCACCTTGTGGGTAGACGTCCCACATTTTTTATTCACATGAATCTAAACTCAGTGGGACCTCGTAATCCAAGTTATTAAAAAATGCGAATCTGCATCAGAAATGTCTGATGTATTGGCGACTGCTGGATGTCCCCAAAAAAATTATAATAAGTAGGTTTTACTTAAAACAGTAAATAATAGAAACGCACTTACCAACTGCTTCATCTCCAGTGAATCACGAATAAAACACTTTCAGAGATTACTCGTATTATCACCCACTAAGTAACCACCAAAGAAATAACTTTACTTCACACTATTTAATTTTTCTATCAACAAAACCGAACGGTAATCCGGAATACTAACTTACTAGGTACTTACTTCACTACTCCAACAAATGGAGGTACATATAAAAAGCTTCGCGTTTTATTTCGAGCTACCTGCCTTTACTTTTAAAAGTATTCGAAAAGAAATTCAAATCGCATCGAGCGCGCGCTTCGATGGAATTCGTTCAGAATCTTTCCATTCCAAATTATTATTAACTGCTCGCCGCGCAACAGTATTTATTATTTAAAATGTAATGTAATTAAATTATGTGTTAAGAAGTTAATATATTTATTTGAATAATATCTGCTGTTTGATAAAATAATAAGTCACAGTTTATTTTTAGTAGCAAGTCAGGCGTGTAGACCCATGTTATCTGTAGCTTCATGGTGTAGACCGCCACCAGTTTCCGAACGCAGCCAAGATACGTCAAAACAATGTGACATAACCACCACGAGCAAAGTGTGTAACTTCGCGATGTGTTTATCAATTTTACAATTTTCCTTGAAGTTTTGAATACAGTAGTGTCTTGAATTTAATTTATTATATTAATCGCCATCATGTCTTACACACTAATGCGCTATTTGAGGCGTACAGCGCTAGTATCACCGCAAATTCGCTTGGAACATACCTTGACAAACCTAACCCAAGAAGATTTCGTATTTCGGCCTCCCCTAGCTCAGTGGAGCAAAGTTATAAGGCAAGCAGAGAAGATAGTGGGATACCCAACCTCTTTTATGAACCTGCGATGGTTGTTGAGCGACGAATTCGCCAATTTAGCGATGCACTTACGGAAAGTTGTGAGTTATGTTTTGGTTCATTATTCTTGATTTTAGTCTTTAATGTTCTTTAGGAAGCGTTTTTGATCTCATTTCCAATTTCCTGAAGCTTGTTTTATTGTTATTTTGTTCATATTCGTGATGCAAACGTGTTATGTAACATTCCATGTGATAATTGACCACTGACCATGCAAAGGTTATTTCCTGATTCAACAAAAAATATTTACGTCATAGCAAAAGTCGATGTTGCAACTTTGATTAGTTCTTGTACGAAAACTAACATCCACTTGTTGAGTGTTAAATACATATTTTTAATAACTAAGAATAGCCTTTGAGTTAGACATTCACTTGTTTTGCTAAATCATTCCACAATTTATACACCGGATAAGTACCTACTTAAGATTTTATGTATTTAAAAAGTTACAAATTTTATACACTGTTTTTAATTAATAAATAAGAAAAGAACGGGTTCATCCAGTGTCTAAGTAGCTCAGTTGGAAGAGCAGCCAGTGGAAGGTCGTGGGTTCAATTCCCTTCTACGCAGTTCGATTTTTTCAAGTTATTTATTAGAATATTTTTTGTGTTACAAGTATGTTCGCTAGTAACCTTGATGTACTCGTTGTGACCTTACAAATATTTCATTTTGTATTGTACTTGAAATTAATATTCTTATGAATTTTAATTTCAAACTAGTCATTTGTACTGTCATGTAAACACAATGCATTATTCAAATACTTTTGAATGATGAATTGAGTGGACAAAATGACTTTGCAACTAACTCATTTTCCTCATAAAAATTAAATCATACTTGTTTCTAGGTGGACACCGACCATCCAATCATAAAGACAGCAAAGACGGTCCTATACAATGAGCACAACAACCTCCAACCGTGGGGGCTCGTCATCCTGCTGCTATCCAAAGCAGTCAACCCTGGCTACTCAACGTTAAAACAGGACTCCATCTCAGAGAACCAAAGAATACTGGCCGAACTGACCGAAATGATACGCACAGGCCACTACATTCATCGAGGCCTTCTAAACGTACCCATTGAAGACAGAGACAAGAATATCGACACAACTATGTTCGCTAATAAAATAGCAATACTAATTGGTGACTATTTGCTTGTCACTGCCAATGGGATGTTGGCCAGACTAAAAAATCAAGACCTCTCGTATTTAATATCAACAGCATTACGGGACATAAGTGAAGGGGAGTTCTTCGGCGATAGAGATTCTCAAAATATGCCACTACCTGGCAAGCCTATAAGGAGTGAAGTGGATGATTTCCAAATATGTAGTGATACTTTGCCGTTAGATGTTACAAGAACTCTCGGCTCTCCAATAAGAGAGTGGACGTTACGGACTATGTACAACGGAGGGTCACTCTTCGGCCGAGGGTGTCAAGGTACTGTGTTACTGGCCGGCCAGACCTTGGAAGAGCAAGAAAAAGCTTATCTTTTCGGCTCTCATTTGTGTTTAGCGTGGCAAGCGGCCAGTGAATTGCAAAAGCTGACATCAGAAAGCAATAAATCATATTCCTTAGTAAGTGCACCAGTCTTGTTCGCTCTAAATGATAACCCCAATTTGTACGATACAATAGCAAAAGGTAAACAAAATATAACTAGCATAGATTTAGAAAAATTAAAATTTGATATTTTTAAAACTGATGCAGTTGAACGGACTAAATTGCTGTATCTAAAGAACTCAAATAAAGCTGCCAGTTACATAGAAATGTTCGGTGACAGTGAAGTTATTGATACAATAAAGAGGTTAATAAAGACGTTGTAGTAGAAATTATAATAAGCAGTACACTTAGATACTTTTAAGTTATTTGTAAATCCATTTTTGTTCGTCAGTTGTGAAGGACTTCATTAATTTTATAAATAAACTGGCTTTTTATAACAATTTAAAAACTCGAAAATTCAGGTTCCTATATTTCATTTTACAGTATTATTAATTTGCATCCTATATTATTTTAGTTATGTTAGAAATATATTGTTGAGTACCCACTACAAGTAGGGTTTCTAACTATCTAGCCTGGTAATTGTCCACTCTGGCCTGGTAATAATTAATTAATAATGGCATAAGGTACAAACATTACATGACCTCTGTTAAATGGTGATAAATACTGTTGTAAACAATAATTCGCGAAATAAGCGTTAGTACAAGACAGTAACAGCTCTAACGTGATCTAACGTTTTATGTAAATCGGCGATAGAATGATATTAGATTCCAAAAAAAATAAACGCGCGAATATTCGCCTAATACAGATTCACAAATCGTCGAAGGTATGGATGGATACTACGACTACAAGTTTTTAGTGCCTGCCTTAAGACTGCCCTAAGCTAAAAAGTCGCTCCATTTTAAAGCACTGTAAGTCGAATGCCCTTCCTTAGTTATGATTGTCTTTATGTGTCTTATGTATTTTATATGTGTTAAATAGAGCATTTATTCGTATTCGAATTGTTACAGACGGTAGGTACCTAGAAGGTACCAGTGAAAATGATTAGATACCTCTGAAAGGAATCGTTTATTATTGTTTTTAGTAAATATACATTTTAACTATGTTATGTGATAATAAGAATAAAGTTTTTAATTGTTTATTTAGGTATGGGACTTTTATTTTTTGTTAATTGATGAGTATTCATTAATATACTGTTATCTTAGGCATCAAAATGTATTTTAAACTAAGAAAGTAAAAGTTCTCTGAAAGTTGCATGTTAATGATATTATCATCTAAAAATTAATTAAATTAAATCGTGGTTAAGTAGGAATTTTAAATGCTCCCAATTCTAGACCCAAAGCATACATTTTAAAGTGCATTTTTCCATCACACATGATTGTGTCGTTGCGAAATTATTTTAAATTTAATTAATTTATATCATCAATGAACGCTGATACGCATCGACCCAATTTCTGAACGCGTTGACATTTTGACAGCTGCACCCGCGTTCATTTCCCGCGCGGAAATGCGCGCCATATTTTGTCCCATCACGGAGGTCGAATCTACAAGCAGGTATTTTAATATTGCTTTTATTTAAAGTGAGGAAATTCATTCGAGATGACCACACTCAACGGCAGCAAGTTAATTTAAAGTTACTTATAACGAAAACGAAGTTTTGGTGGGAACCTCTTTAAATCGAACGATTAAAGATGATGTGCTGTACAACAACAAATAAGAAAACAAAACTTTCATAAATACCTCCCTTTATTACTTCTCCATGTACTGCAAAGCCTCTGCGTGTATTGTCGTAGCCATCTTCTGCAGCGCTTGTCTCGCGTCGTCCACTGGAAACCTGTCGCTGTACCTCAATATGGCTTCCAACTCTTCGTCCAAGAACAGCGACAAATACTCGATAGCCCTCGTCCCTCGAACGGCGTAATACAGCTGTTTATAGTCCATCGGTTTGCCCTCCAATTTGTGTTCCAGAAGATACCCGTAAACTGTTGGATACTCCCACATAGCCAGCATAACTGGAGCCCCAACCAAGGAGTACGAATACGGGTGCGTGAAGAAGTCTTTTACATCAAGATATAACTGCCAGATCAGGGCTAAATGGCCTCCAAGGATGTATGCATCTCTTTCCATCTGCTCTCCACGGTTGGCCAGTTTCATAGCTCCTTGGCAGCCTTTTCCGAGTATGCTTCCAGAGGCCAGCATAGTTCGCAGCTTCCACTCATCTTTGCCCTGGCCTAAGAAATCGTTGGATCCAAGTTTCTTTAGGTTATCTTCTGTCTCCCAGTCGTAGCGGCCGGAGTCATTATTATTACCTGAAATGTAATTTTGACACTAAGGTCATGCAGCTACAGCCTTTGGCCTTCTATTGAAACAGATGGGGTCACGTCATCAATAGTAGCGATCTTTAGCAATGAAGAAACAAAGAGGATTATAAAGAAATCGTTGGAAATTCATTTTAAGATGAAAAAACATTTTACCTTTAGGCATCGTTGGAAGAGGGTTATTCAACGGATCGTGTTCTCCAAAAAAGTCTCCTTCAACGAGGTCCCGAAGGCCAGTAGAGATCAGTTCTGTCACCGCATTATTTCGAAGTCCTCCAAGATTTTGTAAGCATGTTGCTAGAAGATAATCTCCTGTAAAAGTTATAAATTGCCAATAAGAATTCAAAAATCACGCTTATTAAATTTTTTTTAGTTTTAATAATTTGTTTCTGTACAAATTACTAATAGACCCGTTAGCCCCTCGTACTAAGCTAAATATGCTTGTGTCAGTGGGCTCACCACAATAGTCGAGCGCCAGCGAACTCCGCTGTTCTTCGGATAACGAGTCGGCCAGTCCGACCCCTTCACCGTTCTAAGCTGATTATTCCCGTCACAAGGTTACATACCAGTTAAAAGCACAATCTTGTTCCCATAAAGAAGGTCGTTGTACTTGTCCCCGTGTTTCTGCTTGTCCTGCAGGTTGACCATGGTCTTATGGATCATGTGGCCTGTCCGCTTCATCTCCACGATCTCCGCCACCGCCCTCTGAGAGTGCAGCACTCCGGAGTCGTACTGATCCCGAGTGAAGTCCTAAAAGTTTGAAGATATTTAATTATTTACCCACTGAAGTCTCGCCCGAATCAAAAATTTAGTTACTGAGAGAGCAGCTGACGTCAAATGTATGGGCTTATCACGTAAAATCGATAAACGTTTATCATGGCGTGCATCCTATAGGCCTACAGGTCATGAATACAATAATTATGGCAATTGGAATAGGATATCTTTTTTCTTGTAACTGAGTCTGCATCTGACCTCTTTAAATAATGCTTTGATGGTCAATGATGATGAGAATATAAGACAGAGCATGCTTGCTTACATCGCTTACGAAGTATTAGGTGGAGTAGGTAGGTATACCTATTAGTAATTTGCGTTAGGGTCCTGATAAAAATACGCAAATATCACATTGTTGTTGTATTGTAGTAAGTATACTACAGTGTTACCTGAGGATTGAAGCTCGCAGCTTTTGACACGAGTAGCACGATCAGCCCTACCGACTGAAGATTGCTTTTGGAACCGATGAGGAGGTTCTTCGCCGATTTCAGTAGAGGGTGATTTGTGCCCACCTATAAAAAGTTATTAAACTTCCTTAAGCAAGATTAAAGTATTAAGAATTCAAGAGCATTCATCATCATCATACGTCAGTAAATAGGTACTAGCAGACTAATACTTGAAGCGCCAATGAGCAAACTCTTTCATCCAGCCATATATGGCACTAAGCTGCCAGGCCTGCCAGCTTATCATCTTGGGTTCATCAGTTCATTGAGCAAGATTCTATACTTAGACTTAGCAAGCAACTCGTGGTCTCCATCCACTACGCCCGCCTTTTTCATCGTGATTCGCCGCGCTGTGGTCTACTCTCCACAACGCGACGCCGGGACGTTTTTAACAAAAACTGACATAGCTTACTTAATCTACTAGTTTTGAGTTAAATAACAAACTCACAAGCTTCCTCAAATGTATGGCAGTGTTAGCGATCTCATCGTTGAACAGCCACCGGAGGTTGAGGAAGGAGGTGGGGTAGCCCACGATCTGCTCGGCCTCGGAGACCACGTCGCGCCAGTCCTGCTCCAGCCGGCTTATGCCGAGGCTCCAGTCGGAGTAGTGGCGGCATCTGAACACGTTATCACTTGAAGTTGAAACAAAATTGGCGCTGTGAAACCATGGGAAGACCACTTCGTTTCAGCCAAATGACGTCCACTGCTGGACAAAGGCCTCCCCCAAGGTTTTCCACAATGAACTGTCCTGCGCTGCCCGCATCCAGGCTCTTCCCGCGACCTTTACCAGATCGTCGGTCCACCTAGTAGGAGGCTTGTCCACGCTACGTCTTCCAGCCCGTGGTCGCTACTCGAGAACTTTCCTGCCCCAACGGCCATCGTCTCTACGAGCTAATATGTGCCCCGCCCACTGCCACTTTATTTTAGCAATTATGTAAGCTATGTCGGTTACTTTGGTTCTCCTGCGGATCTCCTCATTTCTGATTCGATCACGCAGGGAAACTCCGAGCATAGCCCGCTCTATCGCCCTTTGGGTGACAACTTGTCTGAGACAAATCCCCAGACGTTATTAGGTTCGAATCCCAGGAGCTAAATATTTTCTCGGACTTGTCTCAGGCTCAGAGGTTATGGGTTCGAATCCGAATCTGTCTCGAATTCCGGAGGCCAATTTTTTTCTCGGTTCGTAGGTCTTGTTCCAAGTCCGCCTGGCTAGCTTAGTTACCACTATTTTACTTAAATGTCTGTTGCCATTTACAACAATCTTAACAGCATTGTTCGGTTTCGTCGGTTGAGTTGAGAGGTAAGTAATCTAATAATCTTGAGGTAATAGGTATCGGGTGAAGATGGCTACACATTTAGGTACATGAATAATTTTGTATTTTTAGGACCTAGGTATTTTAAGTAGATTTAAGTAACAGGTCCTTAACAATAGCTCTACCTTATAAATTTAGGCCTTACAGTGCATACCTTACCTTTCTTGTCTCTTAGCACTCGGTGACGCTTGATCCTGAACAACCAGTCGATTTATAACATGTGGACTATTGCTTAACTTTCTGACCCCACTTGTGGGAAACAAGAAACAATTTCGGGCAAGATGGGTGGGTTTAAAACAATGAGAATTTAGAACTTTCATTGCGGTCATTATTACAATTTAAATAAAATTTTAAACTCACTATTGTGACAGTGGCACTGTCATTCTTCTGACGATAGATCAGAGAAAAATGTTCACCTTTTGTCACCATTTGTCAAATATATGGCACAAAAAAAATTTATAAAAACTTCAAAACGACTCGTTGATTTAACCCTAAAATGCACGCAAACCTTTTTTACAAGATTACCGCGTGCTCTACCATAGTAGAAAAAAATTGGTCCGGTCAGTGTCTTGGTTTTTACTTTTTTTAAATTAACTAGCGATCCGCGCTGACTGCACTAGCAGAGCGTAATAGGTAACTAGATACCTACTTATAGTTTGAATTTTACACTACCTTAATATTATTCATTCCTTCCTATCCTTTTTTCCGACATCTTCAACCAATTTTCAATTTACAAAAAACCCTAACCAATTAACAAAACACCTTCCGCATGAACTCTGTCCAGCTCTACTTGAAACTTGAGAACAACATGAAAATCCAATGAGTAATTTTCTTCGTGTTTGTTTTTAGACTGCTAACGATAAAAATCCAACTAAACCTTGTATGTATTTAGACTGCTAACGATAAAAATCCAACTAAACCTTGGACCCTCCACGCGCATGATGGACTGCCGACCTCCAGCTACTCTAGCCCGCTAAATTAGGATCCAGTCATCGCTGCGGTGCGCAGGAGTTACGATAATCTGCGCGTGTACGTCATAATAATGGCCGCTGCGGAATTAAAAACGTGGGCTAGCACTCGAGTGACAATAGTTTTAGTGAGCCGGAGTATAAATTAGGACCATTAGTGGTGATTTAATAAATAAATAAATAATAAATGGGTATTTCTCATCGCCACGGTTCTCATCGTCACCTTCGTGGCGAATTTTATTTCTAACTTATTTCAACATTTTGTAAACAAAAATTGTAGCGCTTGATGTGAAGATTGTATTCTCAGTAAATCAGTCAAATAGTGAGTCTCGTTTGGAAGCTTTAACGTTTTGAATTTTTTGATGCCACGAAAGTGATTCTGTACTTCACAGCAATAATTTTTTCAAACTTTATTACTGTAAATGACTCTTAAGTGTTTATAAAACATAATATTATGTTTTATTTTCATCGATAAATAGCAATAACATAATATAAATAGTAGGGTGGTCCTTATTCCTACGAAAAAAATTTTTTCTTATATTTTGCGGGGCACCACGTAATTTGAATATATACCATATGAAAGTCTTTCAATTTTTTTTTTAATTTTTTAAAAGACATTTAGGGGTCGCTACCAAGTTTTGAATTTTAAGTAAAAACACAAAATCTGTATTTGTTACATTCATTTATTTTTATAGCCGAAAAATAAAAATATTACAAAATTATTGTTGTTGCTATGAACTAAGATATTATGTACAATGTACATATTTGAATCAATTATTTTTAAGATATAAGAGTTGACTTGTTAGTATCTCGACGCGTCGGTACCATGGTCGGTACAGAAGAGGGGTTGAGGGGAGAAGGGGACAAGAAGCGATTGTCTATTCTATCTATGCGATGTTCATTTGCACGTAAAATGTGATATAAACACTTAAATAAAACATTTATGAAACCATGAGGCTGTATCTCCAGGTCACCTAGATACATTCAATAGCAGCTGTAATAGACATTTAGGTACATACATTTACCTATTTTAGTGATAAATAGGCATTTTGTATTAGTTTTTGTATAACGCCTGAACAAAAACAAAGGGTAATATTTTGGTGTGATACATAGATTTCGAATATAAAAAATATATAATTTAACTAATTAAGACATGACAAAAAAACTGAGGTATGTCTCGTTTCTGTCGGGCCTGGGTCACAGATGACCGTTCTTCTTTATCTTACAAACAGATACACAGTCACATATACAGACATACATATAGTCATACAGACAGACAGACAACAAAAATACGAGGCCCTTATTTTTTTAGTGATGTACTGAACTCTACTTACCACGTATAATTTATTAGTTATTAAAATATTGTAATAACATAAACACCAGTCACTATATTTTAAAATAAACCAAAGCAAGAAATCACTTTCGTGGCCTAAAATCACCTTCATGTATAAAGTACCACGAAGGTGATGCCACGAAGGTGACGAAAATTTTAGTTTTTTTATGAATTATCCTTAAATTTGAATTTAACGGTTCAAGTCGAATACTACACAAATAAGTCTAACATGTTAAGTGTTCAATGGCCTAAGTTTCAATTAAATTGTTTAAATTTTAGAGGTAGAAAATATTGTTCAAGCAAGGGACGGTATGTCTATGGATAAGGTAAGTGCCCCCTACTTCGGTATATTAAGGCTCTTACGACTTTAACATTTTATTTAAAAATAACCAAGCATGATATCAGTATGAAAGCTTTTGTATGCTAAACTTTGGTCTTTTGACAGTAAGTTAAATACATAATTTATAGTTATATAGTTAGAACTTTTTTTTATATTAATTGTTCTGCGGACCTCTTGTTTGGATCCTGTTTCGTGACAAAATTTTGCTCTGTTTCTAAGTTCGTGAACTCATGTCCCCTATTTCGGAATAAGGTTTTATGCATACAGTTAGGATATTTTAAGAATGATTAAGGGTTTAATAAATTTAAAAACGATAATAAAAATTTCGAATAAAATAATTATGTGAAATTGACGATATTACTTACCTAAAATATTCATAAGAAATAATGTGTCTAGTATAATATTTTGATTTGTTAATTCTAACAATATGTGAAAATATTTATATAACCATTAGAAATGTAGGGGGGGGAACTTACCCCCCCCCCCTGTTACCCATAAAATTGAGATTTGTTATTTCTAGCGATATGTGAAAATATTTATATTAACCATTAGAAATGTGGGGGCACTTACCCCCCCCCCCTTCTCCGCATAATCCCACCCCTGGAGCTGAGCTGTTTCAAGTGAGGGTAGCCCCCCCCCTAAAAATAACCCCAGATACGCCAATGACTCATAATAAAAAGTAAGTAATTAATTAATTTCTTAGGTAGGTAAGTATTAAAAACTAAAAAATATGTCGATTTCTTTCATGGTGTGTGTCATAAAAGTACCTAACACCGTACATTTATATATCACGAACTTGGAAAAAAGTAACAATAATACGGTTCCTTGTTTCGTGATACTGATTATTCCAAATTCCCCAAGTAAAATTCATGGATTATTGTCAAAATGTGTCAATTAACTATTATCTATCCCATATACAATACAAATAAACAAAGATGAATAAAACAAATCGAAATAAAACCAAAATTATGCTGGTGCTACTTATGCTAATTTATCTTAAAATTGGTCATATATGTGAACTTCAAACTCGTGTCATATAAATTCTAGTGAACGAAACATATACCGAATTTAGGTCATGAGAAACTTAAATAAATGCATTATTTGTTTCATAACTTACATTTAAATTATCATAAATAATTATTTAAAAACCAAGCATCAAAATGTTATCCATAATATCCTTGAATCGGTAGTGTCACGAAATAGGGGACACCCGAAAAATAATATGTACGCTATTTCGTGAGTCAATTAATCGCAATTTTAAAGGAATTCTACGTTTTCATATAACTTTTTTCTAAGCCAAATCAATTGTCAAGGAACACATGAAACCACTATTACTCAAAATAATTATAAGAAGATATTTTTTTGACTATTGTGTGGAAAGTATATTTAATTACGATGATTTTAGTATATGCTACACACAAATTGAATGAAAATTGTGAATGCAGTAACCAAATGTTTCATTGCAACCGAAGGTGTGACACGATGAGAACGCGAAAAATCACCCCGTTCTTTATCGTTTCATGTGATTTTTTCATATTATTTTCGCTTCTATTACGATAAAATTTATTTTGTATGTAGCTAAATAGATATTTTATCATCTGATTTCAAAGTTATTGTTCTAACTTATACCGTTTATGAACTATTATTGTGTGACCATCAAATTTGAGTGAAAATGAGAAGTACCCAAATAATCTTTATTCACAAATATCATTTCCTGTGATGTAATAAACCACAGCACTGCACTAGGCTCGCAGGCCTGTGTCGCAGTAGTTGTGTTGAGTGAGCATTACAGACTACATTTTTACATTAAATATACAGCTCCGATTCCTTATCAGGTCTATTATTGTGGTTTTTTAAAGACTATGAATCATAAATATTTCAACGTGATCATTAGTTATCCATAAGTTTATTATAACATGTCTTCATATGTATATTAAAAAACGATATTCTTGCAAATTAAAATCCTTAATTTATAAGCGCACCCTCATGGTGGACAGATTAACTCATAAAGGTTGTAAGGAGGACGCTGGATACAATCCGCTACCAATCTAGAAATCATTGGGGGAATTGTTCAGCAGTGGATGGCTGAAAGAATGACAACTTTTTTCCATCTATAGTCACTATAGTGTGTGTAAAAATCAACAAAAACCTTGGTGAAAAACCTTACAGAGCTGTCGCCATACAAAAAAAAGTCTCACTCATCACACAACGGCTGGCCACAACAACAAAACCTCGCGTCTTCTGAGCATAAGTAAACCTCGCATGGCAGAAGTTATCAAGACGCTGCACATAATGATATGCGTATTACGAAAGAATTGGAAGCCATTAAGCTTTATTGTAGCTTGCAAGATATGAGGAATGCAGGGACAGGTATGCCTTGCTTTGACTCGCTGTAGAGGGGTTAAAAGCCACCTGCACACTGCAGTCTCTATTAAAATAGCTTGGAATTATGGGGTGGACTTTCGTAAAATCCGTTCTTAGTGAGCACCTACGTTCTAAAAGGAATGCAAAATTTGAGACTCCTCGCACTTGTTGTTTCTGGGATTTGGTGATGAGTGAGTGGTGAGTCAGTCAATCAGTGACCTTTCGCTTTTATAAATATAGATCCTAATGTAAAAACAATGGAGATGAAACATGATAGCGCGTGATGGGTATGAAATATGAATCCAAGGTAGGAATAATGGTAATATGACCTAGGTAGGAAGTAGGTAGTAGAGAAAACCTTAACGTAAGTGGTTCTCT